ATTTGCATTTCCCTAAAAACTGATGTTGAGCATCTTTTCATGTGCTTATTGGCCATTTGTACATCTTTTTATGGTTCCTTTTTTGAAGGAGAAAAAAATGTATGGGCATGTGTGGGAGTATTATTCATCATCTTCTCGTTCCCCACCCCAGTGTGGAGGAAGGAAGTTAACTGAGGGAAAGTAGATGGCTAAATGTAGAGTGCAGCTTCATATCGATGTGTAGTCTGTCCTCATATGTGATCTTGTTTCCTCTGCGTACATATTTATCTCTTTTGTATGCATGTCTTGTCTACAGATAGATAACTTATCTTGACACTCCCATGTGTTACTGGATTTGAATGTTTTGACAGAGGCGTGGGGTTGAAAGTCAATGAGGGCCTTCCGGTTCATCCTTACATGGGTATTTTTTAAATTAAGATAGATTATTGCATTTAGTTACAAGTCCTAGGGTGTGTGTCTTGTGTGTTTTCTTTCTTTTGTGTTTTAGTTTTAGGAGGCTGTGAAAGCCTTTATGGCCCAGGCATTTGTGGTACTTAGAAAGAACGCTACTGTCATTTTCTCTGCTGCTAACAAAGTATCCAGTTCCCATATTCCTTTTTTGTCTTCTTTCTGAAAACTCTCCTGTTAGAGAGTAGGATAATCTGATACAATTTATCTATATTTTAACAGAGAATAACACAGTGAGACATACACATGGGGAATTAATGGATAACCCTTTAAAATGATTTCTCATTTTTAGTTACGTTAACTGAATTTTTCAGTACACTGTTGGTGAAATTTTAAGCGTATTCTCGTTTTTCAGTTATGTCTCAGGTGTTTGCTGACTTGCACTTTGGAGAGTGCCTGCTTATCTGGCATGTCCATAACAGAACTGTGTGTTCTCTCTCTGATGTACTGGGTAGCAGTTTCCCCCCTTTGGACAGTTCAGAACAGTGAGCTTTATCATAGATTAATATCCATAGCTACATAGTGATTTTAAATCCAGAATAAACCTAGAGTAGGAGAAAGAAGAAAAGGCTCACTTATGAAAAAAGTGACTTTCTCAGTGTGTCTTGCAGGTTTTTGGGAATTGTCTCATCTTACTGCCTTTTTTCATATAACACTAGATCAAGGAAAAAGGTTTTTAAAAATTTTTGTTTGCTTATAAAGATCTGTATGCCAAAGGACATAACTGGAATTAATGGAAGAAACTTGGAAAATTCAGTTTATTTCTTTATTCTTCCAGATTTATCTTGCCTTTGAAAGTTGAAAAGCATTTTACTGTTTTTTTTTAATCTTTGTGTTTTAATTACGCTACCCCTTTTCATATACTCCATACTGCTCAGAACCATTGTCTGAGATTACGAAGATTACTTAAATCCCTTAAAGGGTTAGAACCAAATATGAAGAGCAAATTCCTTTATCAAATGAGACTTACAAAGTTAGCAAATCAACTTACAAGTTGAATTTTACCAAGCTTTTGTTTCCAAAGGGTAGGATTAGAACCAAAAGAAATGGCTTTTTTTTTTTTTTAAGATTTTATTTATTTATTTGAGAGAGAGAGAATGAGAGAGAGCAAGCACATGAGAGGGGGGAGGGTCAGAGGGAGAAGCAGACTCCCTGCCGAGCAGGGAGCCCAATGCGGGACTCGATCCAGGGACTCCAGGATCATGACCTGAGCTGAAGGCAGTCGCCTAACCAACTGAGCCACCCAGGCGCCCGAAATGGCTTTTTTAAAAAAGAAGATTTATTTATTTATTTGATAGAGCGATGCATGCGAGCAGTGGTGGGGGGTTGGGAGGAGGACAGAGATTGGAGGAGAGAATCTCAGGCAAACTCCCAGCTGAGTACAGAGCCTGATGCAGGGTTTGATCTCACGACCCTGAGATCATGACCTGAGCTGAGATCAAGAGTCGGGACACTTAACCGACTGAGCTATTTTTTGATTGACAGTATTTTCATTTAAAAATGTAGCTGATCCCCAATTGATAAGCATTAAAAAGAAAGGCACTGTCTTTGGACGTGTGGTTGGTAGTCATCCTTCCTCAAAACTTAGAGTTTTTTTGTGGTATTTGTGCTTGCACACACACACGTTCGCTTAAATGGTTTGAAAGTAAGTAGCAGACATCATGACACCTCACCCCTAAATAGTTCAGGATGTGTCTCCTAAGAATGAGTATATTATTTTACATAAAACCACGATACTGTATCACATTCTAGAAAGTTAATGTTATAAAGTAATAATAATCTAATGTACAGTCTTATTTTTTAAGTCTTTATAATTATCCCAAAAATGTGCTTTTATAACACTTTCATCCCTCTAATCAAGGAGCCAGCCAAAGATCACACATCACATTTGGTGGTTGTATCTCTTTAGTCTCCTTTAAACTGGGACAGGCCCCCTATCTTTTTTGGGGTGAGGGATCTTTCATAACATTAACATTTTGAGATGTCTAGGCCAGTGGTCTTATACAATATTCCACAAATGATTTTATCTTTTCTTCTTGATTAGTTTCAGGTTAAATACTTTTGGTAGGGCTATTACACGTGTACTTCCCATTCCATCACATCAGGAAGCACCGTGATAGCAGTGTGTATTATCTTGGGTAATGCACAGCTTGGTCATGATGCAGACCACTCGTGCTAAGGGGTGTCTGTCAAATCACTTCATCGGAAAGCACTTTTCCTTTATTAAGTAATCTGTAGGTTCATGCTTTGAGACTATGTGGCTGTCCTGCTCCCTAATAACCTTCCACCTGGTTATTTTAATTTGCACATTGATTTAATTCAAGGTTTTGCTAGGGGCCTATTGATGGATGTCAGTTTATCTATGAAGCCCAGGAAATTTTTCTGTGTCAACGTATTTTTCCGGGAATATGATTCATGACTTCCCAAATATTTAAAAGATATTTTCCCCTCTGTTTTGGAGGTGCCTTCTACAAGTCCCCATGCATTAGAGAAGTCTGTCATAAGCAGTTGGTTACTAGAAGCTGGGAACCAACCCTGTTCATGTAATTTTCCTAATTATCTATCCTAGCATCACATACAGCTGGGTACTTAATTTCTGTTGTTTGTTTGAGAATGCTTTGTTCTGGCCTCTCCCTTATCTTGAGCCAAGCATTTGGATCTTTTGTGTTTGGTATAAACTGTACTAGAAAATAAAGCAAAGGGGCTTAGCTCCTGGTCTTTGGTGTTCTCTTTGAAGTTTTTGGGCACAGCAGAATTTGATTTGTGTCTTTGTTGACTGAAGTAAATTTAGGTCAATTGGAAATGAGTTAAAACACTGCAGTATATTATTATTATATATTGACTTTAGGGAGCTTTATCCATTATTATTAGCTTAATATGGAATAGCTGTAGAAGTGATTAATTCTTGACTTTCCCTGCTCAACCAGGAGAGCAGTGTGGAATTAATCATGGCAGCAGCCAGTGAGATGTGTTTTGTTTCATCTATTGATTGGCCCTTTGGTTTGGTTTGCCTTGCATGACAAAGTGTCTGTCATTTGGGTGACAGTAAGAGCTAACATTGGAATGTATACTTCTAAAAATACACATTATACCATTTAATCCAGAAGATCACTCTGTGAAAGTAGATGTTATTATTCCAGTTACACAGGTGGGGGAGAAAGGCTTAGAGAAGTTAAAGATAGCCAACATCAAACAGCTTGTAAGGAACTCCAAATTCCTTGCTTGTTTTGTTTTAGCAGTCTGAAAGGTGGAGGCATTCTAGGGGATATAAATATGAACAAAGCGTGGCCCTTGCTCTCAAGGATCTTTTAAATCCAGCAAATGTGTCTTATAAATATATGATAGCACACCAAGGGAAGAGCTCAGGAAGCACAGAAGAGTGCAGACAACTTCCAAGTATAGGGTCAAGATTGGTATGATGGAGGAAGAATTTGAGAGGGAAGAGTGTTTGGAGGGGAAGAAAAAGAGTGACCAAAAGCATGGAGATGGGAAAGCAGAGGGCTTGTTACGGCTGAGGAATTGCTCTGGTTTGACTAGAGCATGAGCTGCATGAAATAAAGTAAAAGAAAGGAGTGGAAGCTAGACCTGTGAAAGTAGGTTAGGATCAGGTTGTGAAGAGCCTCGAATGCCATGCCAGGGAAGAACCTCATTCTATAGATATTTTGAGCAGGAGATGAAAAATGTAGCCCTGAAGAGGACCCAATGATAAGCATGATAAATGCTTACATCTTTAAGTTATGATTTTGTGCTAATCTCTTCACATACGTTATCTCATTAATGCCTCACAGGAACTCTGTGAACAATGCACTTCTCCCTTTTACAGACTTGAAATTAAGGCTCAGCAAGATTAAGTTTGCGGGTGTGAGATACTGCTGGAGTTAAGACTCAGACTGGGGTCGTCACCTTCTAACACCTGTTCTATTTACCACTATGATATATTGCCCTTTTTTTTTTTTGAAGATTTATTTATTTTAGAGAGAGATAATTTGTGCTAGGGTGAGTGTGCACAAGTGACGGGAGGGGCAGAGGGAGAAGATCTTCAAGGAGATTCCCCTCTGAGTGCAGAGCCCAACTCGGGGCTCAATCCCAGGACCCATGAGATCACGACCTGAGCCGAAATCAAGAGTCGGAAGTTCAATGACTGAGCCACCCAGGCACCCCTGGATATTGTCATTTTTTAAATCAGATCACCTGATAAGTTCTTAATTTTCTGTCAAGAATATCACTATAGGAAAAAGACATTTTCAAAGCTCTAAAAGTACTGCTTTTCAGTGTGTAATCATGTTAAGGAATATAATCACTACCAAACCTGACTTGTACTGCCCTCTAATTTGGGACCATCGCTGGATGGGAAACTGAAGAGTTGGATGATGTTTTATGTACATGCCTCATGGTATCAATACATGCTCATGGCAAATGTTTTTGTTTTCATGTTCAGTGTTTACCCTTATTGGCCCTATGTAAATCTTAGGTCAGGGAAAGCCCATTTCTACGGCATTTTCAGATGCTTAAAGCAATGGTATTTTTCTTAGCTAAAATACGTTTCTTCTCAGCAGGTTTTCTTACTTATAAAAGACCATGACTACTGATGAAGGTGCCAAGAACAATGGAGAAAACCCAGCAGCAGCTGTGGCTGAACATGGAGAGGATATCACCTCTAAAAAAGATAGAGGAGTATTAAAGGTGAGGTTACAAGGATGAATGACATGCAAGGAAATTTGCTATCTGGAAGGATTATTTATAAAAATCTTTCTTTGTATTTTTTGGCTGGAGGTGGAGGTGGATAATGTTTATTGGGGCTTACTAAATGTTAAACACTACAGGCAAGTTCTAAGTTTCATCTTTATGACTTGAGGTTTATTTTTAATCCCAGATTATAGACGGTGAAACTGAGGCCCAACAGAGTAAATAAGTGCAGGTCTGGGGTACAGATCCAAGTTATGTGACTCTAAAAGGCTGTATCTCCCAATTCTCAGAGTATACACATGGTTTATTATTTTAACGTAATATTTAAGTATACTAAAGCTAGCTGGTGACAATTCAATTTGAGACTTATTAGAGGAAAAAGAAAAGCTGACTTGCAACGTTCCCAAGGATTTGTTTTTACATACAGATTGTTTGTGCAGTGAAGATATTTTTTGAGGTTTCATCAGAGAATATATCTTACTTTTGAATTAGCTTTCCTCCTTAAAACACACTGTATTTTTCACTCTGTAATTAATCATTTCTACATGTGTATTTTTGTGTCTCACAATGGTCTTGTGAGACAATCAGCACCTCTTGACCCTTCCATTTTATTTATGGAAGGTGTATATTGATATTCCATGTAAGTAAATAAACTGGAGCTGAGCAAGGTTAAATGATTTTAGTCATATTAAGTCATTATTTCTCCTACGCTGTTGTTATTCATATAAGTTTTGTGTAAATTTTTTCTTGCTGAAATATTATCTTACACATTCTAAATATTACCACTAAGCTCCTTGTGTCAGCAGCAGCAAATGAGAATTTTTTAGTTTGTTTTGTCTAATCTTGCTTATATGAAAGCTTTTTTTCTGTTCCTGGATCTTCTGAATATACGTGTTTTACTGTTAGCTTGCCCCATGCCAAGCCAAATTTTGGAGACTTTCAACTCTAGTAAGAGGGGCTTTATGCCCTAGATTTATATCATGCTGTCTTCTTTCAGAGGGCCTTTCAACCTGTAACTATATGAATCACTTCTCCCAAACTCCAGGATGCTTCTGGAGACAGTAGGTATTTTTGCAGGCTGTCCTCAGCATCCCCCTTCTCGTTCACCTTTTCAGTGTACCCAGAGAACACAGTCCCCAACCTCCCTCCAGCCCTGCTTTGTTCCAGGGAGTAAATCTAGCTAGTAAAGTAGATTTTTAGGCTTGTAAGAAACATTTTGAGATTGTAAGCCCTTTAAATCATATCATCGATCCCTGTCTAGAGCCTTGGGTTTCACTGTGGGGCTTTTGGTTAAGATTAAGTAGGTCTACTAACTGTATGACCTAGGGCAATTTAGTTAACCTCTCTGTGATGAAATTTCCTCATTTGTAATATTGGAACACTACTACCTACCTCATACAGTTATTGGGATTATATAAAGCGTTTAGCACAGTGCCTTATCTATAGTAATCTCATATATATAAATATAAAATATTAAAAAATAAAAATATAAAATATAAAAATTTATTTTATTTTATTAAAAAACATTTTATTATGTTAGTCACATACATAGTCACATACAGTATATCATTAGTTTTTGATGTAGTGTTCCATGATTCATTGTTTGCATATTATTATTATTTTTTAAGACCAAGGCATATCTGGGAAGTCAATGACTATCTCAGGAGGGTAAAATTATATTGTGGAGCTTATATTTTTAAAATGAATCAAGACTAAATATTATCCTTAAAGTATCTCCTTAAGGTAACTCTTCACATCTTCTATTTTTCCCAATCCAGAGCCCCTAGCAACTAACATTCTACTCTCTGTTTTTGTGAGTTCAGCTTTTTTAGATTCCACATATAAGTGAGATCATACAGGATTTGTATTTCTCTGTCACTTAACATAATGCTCTCAAGGTCCTTCCATGTTGTCACAGATGGCAAGATTTTATTCTTTTTTATGGCTGAATTAACATTTCACTGTGTATATATGTACCACATTTTCTTTATCCACTCATCTATCTGTGGACACTTAGGTTGTTTGCATAGCTTAAGTGTTGTAAATAGTGCTTCCCTGAACATGGTGGTACATATATCTTTTTGAACTAGTGTTTTCATTTTCCTTGGAGAAATACCCAGAAGTGGAATTGCTGGATCATATGGTAGTTCTATTTTTAATTTTTTGAGGAACCTTCACACTGTTTTCCACAGTGGCTACACCAGTTACGTTCCCACCACCAGTACATGAGTGTTCCCTTTTCCCTACAACCTTGCCAGCACTTACTATTTCTTGTCTTTTTGATCATAGCCATTCTAACAGGTGAGGTGGTATCTTGTGGGTTTGATTTGCATTTCTGAGATTGTTTTTTTTTATTTCTTTTTCAGTTATTTCCTTGTTACCAGTATATAGAAACACAACTGATTTCTGTGTGTTGATTTTGTATCCTCCCACTTTACTGAACTCATTGATTAGTTCTAACAGGTTTTTGGTGGAGTCTCAGTAATGATTCTTTTCCTTGTAAGAATGTCTGGACTTTTGAACTAAGAAAGTTGTAGAATATAAGTTTATGGTGTTTATGTGCTAATATGAGGGTGGGGCTGGGAGGATACATCTTAAAGAATTTAAGAGTGAATAATTGAATTCTTTGTATAAAAATTCAGACTCTTACCCTAAAATGATGTTTCTTGGATATTAGCTACCATCCTCTGTTATCTAATAAAAATGATTAATATGGCATAGGTGATTGACAGAATAAATTATACCACCACATGCCTGGATTTGATTTTCTTTTCCCAGAACTGACCAACTGCATTAGTGGTCTGCTCTGCCAAGAACAAAATAAATATACTGGATTTTATGACAGCTAACTGTTTTTCAGCCTGGAGCTTTTTTGGCATTTGCTTTACTAGAAAACAAGTTATTCAGTATCATATCAAACTATGCAGTGATACTGTTTTTTACACATTAAATAATTGACACATAATAAGAAGTATAATCTGTTCTACCCGAAAATTGAGCTTTTTAAATTAAACCAAACTAGTGGAATCTAGTCAAAAGGTAATGTTTTTAGCAAAGGAGGGAAGTAAATAAAATCTCACCTTTGTAACTTTGCTTTAGACTTCTTTTTGAATGGTTTTGAAAGTCCACTAATCTTTTTGGTCTAATTTAGTTTGTGTATGAACTAGCTCTGTGTTTTGAGAGATTTTAGTGTCAAAGCATGAAGCAGGATTTATTGGTTATATTATTATGTTATTTTTTTTTTTAAAGATTTTGTTTATTTATTTGACAGAGAGAGACACAGTGAGAAAGGGAACACAAGCAGGGGCAGAGGGAGAGGGAGAAGCAGGCTTCCCGCTGAGCGGGGAGCCCGATGTGGGGCTCGATCCCAGGACCCTGGGATCATGACCTGAGCTGAAGGCAGATGCTTAATGACTGAGCCACCAGGTGCCCCTTATTATGTTATTTTGAGGAAATAATTAAATATAGCATTAAAGATTGAGAGTAGTACAGGACAGTTTTCTAAGAGTGAGGGTTATTGAGAGAACTGGGAAGGAAGCCTTTAGAAAGGACGTAATTATTTGTAAATCTGCCTGGGTAATGTGAAATGGACTGTGCAACCTTTTTATTCTCTGATTAGAATAAAACCAGCTCCTTTTTCTTGATGTTTGTCTTTTCTAGATTGTCAAAAGAGTGGGGAATAGTGAGGAAACACCAATGATTGGAGACAAAGTTTTTGTCCATTACAAAGGGAAATTGTCAAATGGAACGAAGTTTGATTCCAGTCATGATAGAAATGAACCATTTGTCTTTAGTCTTGGCAAAGGTAAGAGGTGGTGTTTTTTTTTCTTTAAAGATTTTTTTTATTATTTATTTGAGAGAGAGAGAGAGAATGAGAGAGAAAGAACACATGAGAGGGGATAGGGTCAGAGAGCGAAGCAGACTCCCTGCCGAGCAGGGAGCCCGATGCGGGACTCGATCCCGGGACTCCAGGATCATGACCTGAGCTGAAGGCAGTCGCTTAACCAACTGAGCCACCCAGGCGCCCAGAGGTGGTGTTTTTGAGTTGTGTCTTGCTTGGATTTATTGCCATTTATATCGTATAGGAGCTAGTCGATCCCATATAGGAGCTAGTGGATTTTTTAGGGGGTCCGTAATGTCAAAATTGTTTTCTTAATAATACTAAGACATTGTTTATATTTTTACTGTGTTGACACTTGCATGGAAGGTGCCCAAGCTGCAGTGGTAGAGGCTGCTGGTGCCCCGGCACAAATCTAGGCGCAGCACCAAGCTCTACCAGTAATCATTTATGCTTCGCTGCCCTCACTCACTGTGTAAATAAGAAAAAGAAGGGAAGCCAGTTTCACTTAATGTCCTTGACAAAGTGTAAAAAATACTAATTTTATTAAATCCTAATCCTTGAGTTTCACATTGTTTTGCTGCTTTGTGACAGATAGGAAGCACACCTTGAGCACTTCTGCATACCCAGGTGTAGTGGTTATCTCATGGAGAAGCACTTGTGCACTTAACTTGAGTACATTTTTTGAAAAAAACACGAGTTTTATTTGAAAGGGCAAACTGTTGTTATTTAGACTTGATTATTTGGTATTTGGCAGATACTTTCTTAAAAATGAATGAAGTGAGCCTGTCACTTCAAGGAAAACAACAGACAATATTTCTTGCCATCGAGTTTTCAAATGAAAATTACAGTTTTGGGAAATGCGTATCTGCCACTGTGAGCTTGGCAGCTTTCCAAAACTTAAAAGACTTCTGATGAGATCAGTGGGTTTTAATGAATGTGATTTAAAAAATATTATCTAATGAAATGTGTTAACATTTGGAAGATCTATGTAATTCAGTGAACCAATATTTTTCCACCAATACTAGATGTTACAGAATCATGCATGACTAAAAGATCCATTCATTGCACAAGCTAGACCAGTGGATTTTAATGTAGTATGATATGAAAAGTTCATTGATATGCTTTCAGATTCCACATTGCAGCTAACCTTTATGAAACTACCACTTGTCCAGCTTTGATGTCATATCAGATAATTATATTCATAATTATCTGAAAAGGCTATTAAAGTACTCCTACCTTTTCCAATCTATCTTTGTGGGTTTGGATTTTTTCTGCAGACTTAAGCCAGAATTGCAACAGATGAATGCAAAAAATGTCTTTTATTGTTAGACACATTTTACACTTGTAAATTTATAAAACAATACCATTCTCACTAATAAATTTTTTAAAATATAGTTTTCATAAAAATAACTTGTGTTAACATATAATGAGGTTATTACTATTTTTCAGTGAATTTGGTAAATAGTGATTTTCTTTAATTTTAATGTGGTAAATATCAATAGATAGATAAACAGAAGTTCCTTAGAGCCCTCAGTTTTTAAGATGTAAAGAGGGTCCTGAGGAAAAAAGGCTGAGAACTACTATTTTCAGGTCTTAAATGTGACTTATACTAATTTATTTTCAAATGCTTTTAAATGTCTTTAGTTAATTTAGTATTTTTTTTTTTCAGTCTTATAAGGAGAATAATAGCCCATACATCAAATTGAACTTTGTGGGCCATGTGGCTTGTTGAAAATTAGTGGCTAGAGGCCCCTGGGCGGCTCAGTTGGTTAAGTGTCTGCCTTCGGCTCAGGTCATGATCCCAGGGTCCTGGGATTGAGCCCCGTGTCAGGCTCCCTGCTCAGCGGGGAGCCTGCTTCTCCCTCTCCCTCTGCCTGCCATTCCCCCTGCTTGTGTTCTCTCTCTCTCTCTGTCAAATAAATAAAAAAAATACTTCAAAAAAAAAGAAAGTGGCTAAATTACCAATGTTTTTTTATTCATATCTGCTACAGCTATAACAGACTTCTAGTTCGCTCCCAGATTGAGTGTGAGAGAAAAGGAGTAATCCTCCATCCACCATCATGGCTCAGTGTTGACGATAATCCCTTTCTTTTTCTGAGATGAATTGTTAACTAAGCATGGATCTGGGAAAGGAAACAGCAGATGAGGAACTATGGAGTTAAACTCTTTCTGCCTCTCTTCTCCTCTCCCTTCCTGGCACTCATAGGCATAGGTCATGGTGACGTCTGCTTCCTGTCCAACTATGCTCTCTCCATGCTCTGGAGCTGGCTACACCACTGCTCCCTTCTCCTTTGGGTCTTTAGTGAGTTAGTGGTCACGTGAGATTAATCTTGTCTTTCAGTATGATACCAATCAAAATCAAATACAGATTCTCTCTCTTGATAAAGCAGATAATGTTGACAGTTAAATTAGAATTTGTCTTTTTGTTGATTTAGGGATGTGAACCTTCAGTGCCACCAGCATGGCTGTGGCATCAGTATTTAATTGAGATGATCTCAGAGTAAATGGCCTCATCAGACGTCTTAGACATCACTGTTCCCACTGCCCCGCCCCAGATTCTTACTGTACCCTTTGAATTTCTTTCTTGAAGAAGTTGATGGATTTAAGATAACATACCTTCTCTCAGCAGCTATCTTTGCAAGTAGTCTTAAGACTTGCTAAGAATAAAGAAATTGCTGGGAACTTAATGCTACCATCTTCTCTACCCACATATTCTTAATAAACTACCCTCTGATGAATGAGTCTTTTATGTTTCCTAGAATTTTGAGCCAAGATAAAATAGGTGACTTCCGGTTGACTTGCTACCTATGACACACCTATCTAGAGAGTGTGGTCTCATGGGGAGAGGAGCATCCACCTGGGTGTTAGGAAGCCACAGGTTCCTGTTTTCACTCTTTCCTGTGTCATTTTAACATGAGTAAGCCACCTAACCTTCCCTGCTCATCTATGGAAAGCTTTATTTTTTTTTTTTTGCTCATTTTTTTTTTATTAACATATAATGTATTATTGGTTTCAGGGGTACAGGTCTATGATACATCAGTCTTATACAATTCACAGCACTCACCATAGCACATACCCTCCCCAATGTCCATCACCCAGCCACCCTATCCCTCCTACCCCCCTCCACTCCAGCAACCCTCTGTTTCCTGAGATTAAGAGTCTCTTATTGTCTCCCTCTCTGGTTTCGCCTTGTCTCATTTTTCCCTCCCTTCTCCTATGATCCTCTGTCTTGTTTCTCAAATTCCTCGTATCAGTGAGATCATATGATAGTTGTCTTTCTCTGATTGACTTATTTCGCTTAGCATAATGCCCTCTAGTTCCATCCACGTCGTTGCAAATGGCAAGATTTTGTTTTGGGGGGGGGTTTGATGGCTGCATAATATTCCATTGTGTGTGTGTGTGTGTGTGTGTGTGTACCACATCTTCTTTATCATTCATTGTTGATGGACATGTACACTCTTCCCATAGTTTGGCTATTGTAGACATTGCTGCTATAAACATTGGGGTGCAGGTACCCCTTCCGATCATTACATTTGGATCTTTGGGGTTAATACCCAGTAGTGCAATTGCAGGGTCGTAGGGTAGCTCTATTTTCAACTTTTTGAGGAACCTCCATACTGTTTTTCAGAGTAGCTACACCAGCTTGCATTCCCACCAACAGTGTAGGAGGGTTCCTATGGAAAAGCTTTAAGAGTAATCCTGGCTATGATTCCATTCTTGTACCTTCTGTAAAGAGTACAGGAACAAAAACTGTGTAAAAGACTAAAAACCAAAACAATGACAGAACCTTTAGAGGCCCCCTTAAGATGATAATTAGAAATATGAGAATAGAGCAATATATTTGCGGTAAAAGTTCTGTAGCATAATGTGCTCAGGTGACTGTAAAGCAAGAAACATTGGTTAGGCAGTTTACAGCATAAAGCCTATATGTTATAGCAGTAGCTACTTCATCAAACTGAAGAAAAATAATATAAATGGACTGTAGCATATTGTATATTGAGCTCTCTTGATCCTTTAAAATTCACCTCTCCCAAGGGAATAAATAGAAATGTTTCAGTGGGGGGGCGCCTGGGTGGCTCAGTCATTAAGCGTCTGCCTTCGGCTCAGGTCATGATCCCAGGGTCCTGGGATCGAGCCCCGCATCAGGCTCTCTGCTCAGCAGGAAACCTGCTTTTCCCTCTCCCACTCCCCCTGCTTGTGTTCCCCCTCTCTCTCTCTGTCAAATAAGTAAGTAAGTAAGTAAGTAAGTAAGTAAATAAATAAATAAATAAAATGTTTCAGTGGAAAGTCACACTAATTTGGGGATTCTATTGTGACTTCAGTATTTAAAATAGAATTATGAGTGCTTATCTGTAAAAAATTGCCATAAAAATATACATACCATATATATGTACATATATACATCCACATGCATTTGAGCTTTACATACAGGTTGTGTATATGTGTCTGTTGCTCTTTCTGTGCCATCTGTTAAACTCTGTGCCTTACTTCCCTCATTGGTAAAGTCACAATAATGATAATATATACTGTTGTATATTGAAGAATAAATAAGATATTGCACACCATTGCTTAGCACGTAGTAAGCACTCACGTGTTTATTACTGTTGTTACAGTGTTAGGATTATTGGCTTTCTAGTGGAATGGCAAAAACTGTACTATAGCAGTTTGGGTGTTAATGCTATTTACTACGTATGCCTGCATACAAACTCTTTGAAATAATGCTTAACCATCTTTTTTAGCCTCAGAAAGTCTGGAAAGACAAAACTGAATCAATCTAAGACAACCAATTATTACTATTTCAGAATATGTTACACAAATTAGAATGAAGAGATGGTGGTTTCCCTCATTGGGTTTTCTTAACTAAATCTTACATGTTCTGAATTCCTAGAACTGTGTTCATAATTCATTTTAAAAGAAGTTGAAATAAGGACTCAGGATTTTCCAATATACTTCCATGGTAGAAG